GTTTAGGATTTAGGGTTAGGGTTTAAAGGTCTTCAGGGCTTTCAGGGTGACTTTTGAGCTTAAGAGTTTTAGGGTGAAGACTAGGCTTCCATTTTGTAGGGATGCCGCCCTGGGATGTAAAAAACTTAAAGCCCTGTGACCTCGATGAGCATGAGGTCGTAGATCAGGGCAGGCACCTGATGGCAGCGCGGCGGTCTCAGGCCTTTGGGGGTTTCAGAACATCAGGGGTAGGGGTCCTTATAGTAAGGATACCACTCTTCAGGGTTCTATACCAGGGTCCCCTGCTTTCGAAACTTCCAGCCTCAAGACGGGAGGTTGCAAAGGTTTGTGGGGTTTCGGGGATCTCATAGGCTTCTCGGGCGGGAGTTGTGAAGTTCAGGGCTTGCTTATGTTGACCCGCGAAACATAGCTTTGCACGATAACCCGTCCTAAACTCAACCCTAAACTTAAACCCTAAACCCTCAACCTGGGTGTAGGCCTCCCATGGTTTGGGGGGTCTATATTGGGGTCCACAACTTCTGAAACTACTATAGGGGCTTTAATAACTACCAATAATATTTTGGGGGCTCCTTATTAAAATTATAGTATAATGGGCCCCCAAACCCTATTCTGACTATTAAAGGCCCTATATTACCGGCCTTCTCCTGCGTGTTGAACTGGTCGACCACAAACTCATCCAAGCCCTCTTTGGCCTCTGAGCACGCAGCAACCCTAAGCGGGCTTAGGGTTTAACCTAAACCCTAAACCCATGGGGCTTAGGGCCCCAGAATCATGCAAAATGGAAGACTGATCTTCGTGACATACACATGATACGAACAATCAAGCTTGGGACAGGGAAGCAGCAGTGCAGAAGTCCGGTTTGCTACAACCAGCACTAAGACTTTGAAGTACAAACCCCCTGAACCAAACACAAGTGCGCCAGGCACCAACTGGCACATGGCTGCCTGTACTGGGTAGGCCAGTGTAGCTTCAACCGCCACATCCGTAGAAGTCCTCAAACCCAGAAAGCCCAATACCCCTTAATTGAGGAATATACCTTAACTCATAGTACTAGGGCCCCTATATAATTTATGGTAAATTCCTTATGTAAGGAGTATTCGTCTCTCTGGGAACCAGTGAGGGCTGCGAAACCCTCGAAGTCGGTTGTCCTTGAATTTTCCACCTTCCCGAGCCCGGGAAACCATGGGATCCCGAGTGAAACATCGAACTGAGACTTCAAATGCATTCCCAGTGAAACCTGTTTGAACCTTCGGAGTGTCGTTCAGATGGCCAAATAGCCCCACTAGTTCCTGCATCTTTCTCCCCATCGACAGAGTTTATAATCAAGCCTAGTATAGGGGCCTTAATATTTAGAATAGGGTTTTGCGGCCCATTATACGATATTTATAGCAAGGAGCCAATATTTGGCAATTCTCTAGGCCCCTACATTATGGAAACCCCGAGCCTGGTTGTGTGCAGTCCAATTCAACTTCTCCACCCTCTCGTGCTGCGTCAGCCAGCGCCTCTGTGAGTGGCGTGCTTTTGCTTTTTGGAGGGGGGCGCTTGGGGTGGAGGGTCCTCAGGCAGAAGGGGTTGATGGTTTGGGAGTTTCTGGTTTCGGCGGTTGCAAGAGCTTGGATACTGTACAGCGAACCCCAGGAAGTTGGAACATGGATTGAGGAGGATCGGTGCTGGGATCCTTTATACCTTACCTCAAGGCCATGAGGAGATTAATGTTCCAACTTTCTGGCTTCTGCGATAGGGGCCTTAACAATTAGGATAGGGATTTGGGGGTATATTGTACTATCATCGGAAGCAGGAACCCCCCAAAAAGTATAGGTAACTATTATTAAAGGCCCCTATATCACAAACCCTAAACCCTAAACCCTAAACCCTAAACCCTAAACACTTCAGGCGTCATTGAAACATCTGAGCCGGGAGCGGATCGCCCACGCTCTCAAGCTTGAACTCCTGCGTGGGGAAGACAAGAAAAAGGGAAGGAACCCTAGACCTTCTAGGTTTAGGGTTCAGGGTTTAG